GGGGTTTTGAGAAATAAATCGGTTCTGCCTTTGGAGCCCTCTGTGCTGCAACCATTCGCTTTTCCCCCGCTCCATTCTGGTGTCTAGGCACAAACTTTGCTCCCGCCTTCCCCGTCACTGAGGGAGCTTCTCACAGGAACATCCTCATCTGTCTCCCACCACCACAGACCCTGCTCAGCGCAGGGAGCTTGGGGTGACCGGTCTCCATCCACCACACACGGGACTTACTCTGGGGTCTGCAGCCTCTGTGCCCCTTCTTCATTCCCACAGCAAGGCCCAGGCGGTGCTGGCTGTGATGGCACCCCATGACAATGAGAGGAGGGGGAGACTGAAGGGAGGGGGGCAGCTTTCCCCCTCCCTATCCAGATAGGGCAGACAGTGCTGAGGTGGAGAGGGGCACAGAGATCTCACCCTTGCAGCCTCAGGTTCTGAGCGAGGGGATTTGGAGGAGCAGGTCTGCAGCGATGGGAGGTGAGTTTCCCATTCCCTGTGCCGTGGCTGCCACAGGGGCTGCCTGTGGAGATTGTGCCTAGGAACCAGCACAGAATGAGGACACATTTAAACTAACCAGTGCAGCTGCTGGGTCACAGGCTGTCACGGAGTCCCTGAGCGATGCTCTGGAACTGCTCCCCATGAAGCCAGTCAGGACTCTGGGGCAGTCGCCTTTCTGTGAGCAGCCTGTCTTCAGGACACGCAGCTCACACAGCTTCCACCTTCCTGGGTCTGACCTCGGAGCATTCAGCATCCTCTGCCCCTCCGTGCGCTTCCCACAGCGAGTCCGCTCAGGCGGGGCTCCTGGGGAAGCCAGAGGGTCCTGCACCCCAACTTCGCAGTCAGACGTGACTCTCAGCCAGCCAGTAACACAGAAGGTTTATTAGATGACAGGAACATGGTCTAAAACAGAGCTTGCAGGTGCAGAGAACGGGACCCCTCAGCTGGGTCCATTTTGGGGGGCAGTGAGCCAGACAACCACGTCTGCACTTCACTCCATGTCCCAGCCAGCCCCAAACTGAAACTCCCCTCCAGCCCCTCCTCCTCTGGGCTTTGTTCCTTTCCCGGGCCAGGTGGTCACCTGATTCCTTTGTTCTCCAACCCTTTAGCTCTCACCTTGCAGGGGGGAAGGGCCCAGGCCATCAGTTGCCAGGAAACAGGGTGTCGGCCATTCTCTGTGTCCAGACTCCTGCACACACATGCCCTCTAGGGCTCTGCAATGATCATACACCCTTACCCCACCCCCTAGATACTTAAGAACTGCCTAGGGGAAACTGAGGCACCCCCACACTATTCAGAGGAAACATTAAGAATAGTCCCACTTCGTCACACAGGCGGATAGGTGCTGAGCCCCTGCCTCTCCCCCTGGAGCCAGGGTGCCCAGTCTCTCTCCCTGGGGCTCATGGGGCTTGCTGGGGCTCAGCACCTCCCAGGTTTTGGCCTCCTTTTCATAACAGGTACAATTAATCCTCACTCCAAGCCCAGCGAGATGGGCTTTGATGCTCTCCTCTTGAGGCAGTGATGTGCCGAGCTGCCCGTCTGGGCCGCATCGCAAGGCACATGCAGGAACCATTCCATGACGGCTTGTTCGTGAAGATTAGCAACATTACGTGATACCCGGGACTTCATACAGGATGCAAATGACTCAGCTGTGTGATCTTTATGGCCTGGGGAGCTACCAGCTTCGTGGCTTAGCAGTTGAGGGGCGGAAGGCATCTGGGCTTGTGAGTCATCCAGCAGGGTTAGCTGGTGCAGGGCAGAGCTGTCAACCTGGCCATTTCTGAGCTCAGCCAACCAGGGGAGGGTGCAGCTCCCTCTTTTCCAGAAGTCAGAGCCCAGGAGGTGTGTTTCAGGTAGGCCAGGTTGCTTTTGCATAGCACTTTGAACATAAGAACATAAGAATGGCCATACTGGATCAGACCAAGAGTCCATCCAGCCCAGTATCCTGTCTGCCGACAGTGGCCAATGCCAGGTGCCCCAGAGGGAGTGAACCTAACAGGTAATGATCTAGTGATCTCTCTCCTGCCATCCATCTCCACCCTCTGACAAACAGAGGCTAGGGACACCATTCCTTACCCATCCTGGCTCATAGCCATTAATGGACTTAACCTCCATGAATTTATCCAGTTCTCTTTTAAGCCCTGTTACAGTCCTAGCCTTCACAACCTCCTCGGGCAAGGAGTTCCACAGGTTGACTGTGCACTGAGAGAAGAAGAACTTCCTTTTATTTGTTTTAAACCTGCTACCTATTAATTTCATTTGGTGGCCCCTAGTTCTTATATTATGGGAACAAGTGAATAACTTTTCCTTATTCACTTTCTCCACACCACTCATGATTTTATAGACCTCTATCATATCACCCCTCAGTCTCCTCTTTTCCAAGCTGAGAAGTCCTGGCCTCTTTAATCTCTCCTCATATGGGACCTGTTCTAAACCCCTAATCATTTTAGTTGCCCTTTTCTGAACCTTTTCTAATGCCAGTATATCTTTTTTGAGATGAGGGGACCACATCTGTACCCAGTATGCAAGATGTGGGCGTACCATGGATTTATATAAGGACGATAAGATATTCTCCATCTTATTCTCTATCCCTTTTTTAATGATTCCTCACATCCTTTTTGCCTTTTGACTGCCGCTGCACACTGCATGGACGTCTTCAGAGAACTATCCACGATCTTTCTCCTGATTAGCTGTAGCTAAATTAGCCCCCATCATATTGTATGTATAACTGGGTTTTTTTTTCCAGTGTGCATTACTTTACATTTATCCACATTAAATTTCATTTGCCATTTTGTTGCCCAATCACTTAGTTTTGTGAGATCTTTTTGAAGTTCTCCACAGTCTTCACTCAGCTTCTCTGAGTGCTGGGCTTATGGTACAGATGGGGAAACTGAGGCAGGGAGGGGCAGAGGCTTGTCCAAGGTCACACCGTGAGGCACGGTCTAGCCTGGGAGGAGAACCCAGGAGAGCCTGAGGCAGCAAAACTGTGTTTGGAGCCTTGGTTCCCCCCTTTCTAGGGATCTGGGATGGGGCAGAGGCAACTTGTGTTGCTCCTGTGTTGTGGTAGATAAGGTGAGACCTGCCCACAGGGCACTGTCCACCCTGTCTGTTCTCTGCCGCCTCTCGGTTTCTTGGCTCACCTGCTTCTTGCTCGAATCATTACAAGGGAGGTGGGGGGTTCCTTACCACCGCTGGTGCTCCTCCCCTAAGTACCAGGGCATTTGGGGGTGGGAGAGCTGGCTCTGTGCAGCCGGGAGCCAGCCAGGACTTGGAATGGACCCTTTGCCTTCACCACAGAGCCAGACCCAACCTCCAGGAATGTTTTCGTTTTCAGCTTTCAGAGCTGGAGTAGATTTCAGCAGGCTCAGTCAGTGGCCTGGGTCTCCTGTGGATACTGCCCTTTGCATACTGTCTGTAGGGGAAGGGGCCTGTATCTCGGGAAGGCTTTGATCAGATGATCACACATTTCCACCACAAACTACCCTGGCCCTGGAATTTCAGACTGATCGAACTCCGCGTGTTGATTGCAGCTTCAAAATGGGGCTAAAAACAGAAACTCTGCAGCAGCCTTAGCTATGGAGCAGGCATTGCTCCTCCATTTCACTGAGAGCTGCTTGGCCATCCCTGCTCCCCACAGCTCAGCCCTCTCAGTGATGGGTTTGCAGTCAAATGTGTGCTGGAAGTTGGATCAGCAGTGGAGCTGCTGCACTAGGGGGTTTGGGAGTGTGTGAAGATCCAAGAGCATGGAAGGAGAAGCAGCTTCTCACTGGCGATGCTCAGACGAGTGAAGAGAAGGGGGTTGGTAACAGAGATCACTGGGAAAGGGGTTTGTTTTCTGTGGAAAACTTTGACTTTTTGTCAAAAAAAATGAAAACTGAAAATTTTTGGCTGAAAATTGTTGAAACCCAAACATTGCGGGGGGGAGGGAGGGAGGGTTGGTTGGTTTGCTGATGAAAATAGAAATTTTTTGAGGAAAGCAGAAACCTTTCACAAAACCTTTTTCCACAATTTTCTGCAGAAAGAATGTTGTGACAGAAAATTTCTGACCAGTCCCAGGCTGTAACCTCCTTCTCAGGCTGTTTTTTCTCACCCTTCCAACCCTTGGCAGAGTGGAAGGAGATGTTCTGCAGAAATCATTGATTTCAAGAATTCGCTCTGATAAAGTGAAATGGGAAATGGTTTTATTTATTGTATTTCACTGCACACAGCGTCTGCCATCCCCCTTGCTACACAACAAGTTAACAACATACAATCAGCAGTGGATGCGGAGAGCAATACAGACAGACCACTACAGTCCACATTTAGGAGCCTGGGGCCAGGGGTGCAGGAATCAACCAGTGGGGTTCCATGACCTACAAGGGCTTTTTGTTGGATAAGACACTTGGCAGTAATTTCTCGATTTCCATCACAACTATTATTTGCCATAATTCACATCCCGGTCCTCAACCTTCAGCCCACCATGCATTCCCAGGAACCATTGTAACACTCCTCCCACTAGGGGCTGGAGACCTGACACAAGGCCGTCACCACTCCTAGTGCATCTCCTTTAGTTCCAGTGGGAGAACTCTTGTCTTGGGATCTGCAGGTTCAGGTCTCAGCTGGGGGCGTCACGGAACATAATTGCAACATCCAGGCATCAACAGTGGCATAATGGGCAGAAGCAAGGAGATGGAGTAATGGAGTCAGCTCCTTTTTAAAGTTCTAATCGCACTGCCGAGTAACTGGGAGCCTGTCCTGTAATCATAGGTAGGGACTTCTCTCTGGCTAGCAGGCACTTCATCTTCACGGTCTGACAGAGCAGCCGTGTCTGGTTCCTGGAAACGTTCAAACCAGCTGCTGCTTCTGCTGCTCGTTTGTTTTAAATTGTCAGATTTTGGCTTTGGACCCTGAAATCCCCTGAATGGTGTTGTCCAGCAGCTCCAGTAGAAGCCAGGCAGCCCCCTCGCTGCCTATCTCCCCACCCCACTGGGCTTTCCTCTCACCACCTGTTGTTCTCACTTCTTTTCCAGGCTGCCCATCAGGGACGTTCAAGGCCAGCCAAGGGGACGAAGGGTGTGTTCATTGCCCAATTAACAGCAGGACTACTTCGGAAGGGGCCACCAACTGTGTGTGCCGAAATGGATATTACCGGGCAGACTCCGACCCCCTGGATATGCCATGCACCAGTACGTAACCACCCGGCTAGACAGGAGAGGGGAGCGGGGAAAGGCCATGGGATGGTACAGACCCTGAAGCAGGGATGAAACTATTTCAAATTGCCTGTTGGTGTCTAACAAATTGTCCCAGACTGGAGCTGCACATCCCCCCCGTGGCTGCATATGAAGGTATTGGTGCCGTCAGGGACTGTCTCTGGAGACTGTAGTCAAGGCTGCTGACTCCAGTGGGATCAGATGGGCAGGTGGCACAGATATCTTCATCTCATTAGGGGCTACAATGCCTGGAGCTCTCAAGCAGCGGGAGTTGGTTGGAGTTAGGGTTTGGTTCAATGTTAGCCCTAAGTTTGGGGTTAAAAATAGTGTCAGCCTTAAGTTGAGGTTGTAGTTAGAGTTAGGGGTAGGTTACAGTTCGGGCTAGTGTTATTGTTAGTGGTGGGTTCGGGCTAGTTTATAGTTAGAGTTAGAATTAGGGTTACTGTTTGTTTAGGAATATGTTGTATTTAGGGCTAGGCTCTGGTTAGGGTTAGCATTGGGTTAGGGCAGGTCTATAGTTAGGGTTAGCATTGGGTTAGGGCAGGTCTATAGTTAGGTTTAGCGCTGGGTTAGGGCTAGGCTCTGGTTAGGGTTAGCGTTGGGTGAGGGCTAGGCTGTAGTTCGAGCTAGCATTGTGTTTGGGTTGGGTTGTGATTAGGGATAGGTTTTGGGTTCCTGATGAGGGGTCTATGAAGGAACCACGTTAGAAACTCTTTGGTGAAAGTTTCTCAGGTTAAATGACTTAATGCAAAAAAACTCAGTCCAGCAAATCCCATTAGGACAGTGCACGTCTCCTGCCTGCCTGGAGCTGAACATGCTTCCTGAAGGAGGCCAGTGTCATCATCTCTTCCTGCACTGGGGGAATCGGAGCCAGTGACTGCCTGCTCTTGCCCAGTTGTCCTGTCCCTGCTCTAATCACTGCACTAAGCATCTCCACTCGAGGCTGCAGAGGGCCAGGCAGCCTCCCAGCTCAGGGTGGTGCACATGGTGAGGGTGAATTGTGCTGAACGTTTTTTTTCAGGAGCTGCTCCTGGAGTTTCCCAGTCCTGCTTATCCCATGAAATGCTAGGGTCCTGCACAGCTACTTCAGTCCTGCCCTGTTCCCACTCCGGCAGGTGCATAGCTTTTGCCTGCTAGGATGGATTTGCTAGTTGTCTTCACACTTTCTCATCTTTCCTTCTATTATTGGGAGAAAATTTCCTTCTTTCCCACTTTTTATTTACATTTTTGGGAGCACAGTGCACAGTCCCTTCTCTGGCTGATGTTGCCTCCAGTTAGCCTAAGGAGGATTCCTTCAAGAGGTTAACACTCCACAAGCCCAGCCCCGGAGGGCAAACAGCAAATTCACAGAGCTGTTTTCACCCTGAGCCTTAGGAGGAACTGGCCACCTGGGACCATTGTCACTTTGATAACCTTCCTTTTTGAATGTATCCGGCAGAGTTAAGGTCGTTTTACTTCGCTAATGTAAACAATTTTGTATCTTTTTAATTGAATTCCAGTTTCCAACGAAATGCAGCTTGACACAACTCCGAGTAAACAGTTATCATGTAGTAAATAAGAAATGTGTCATTCACCATTTTCTAGCTTATTAACAAATGTCAAAAGAATCTGAAGCAATATATGATAAGTGATTGTCATGTAAATAAACGTGGTTAGGGCAGCGTATCATCCTGGTTAGCAAAAAGAAGCATCACCTTTAGTGTAAAGGCTGTATTTGCTTGCAAATCAGCATGTTTTCATGGTTATGTCAGCCAGTGGGAAAGAACCATTTTTAGGAAAATAACTAAAAAGTACAAATGCAAAACCAGATTAAAATCACTGATTTAAATTAAGGTTTCCTGCTCGCTGATTTGAATCAACGTCCCCTGAGAGTGACTGAGCTGCAGAGTGGGTGGGGGTGCTAACAGTGGCTTCTGGGATTTGAGGCCTCCCCTCCTGCTCATTTGCCCACACCCTTGGGGTGGGGTCCTTGGCCCTGGAGCTGTGGACCTGGGAATTGCACATCACTCTGTGGAGGGGGTGGAGCTGGTAGTCCATGGATGTTCCTGAAGCAGCCAGGCCAGCACAGGGGAAACAAAGTTTTGGCAGGTAGCAGCTTCCATCTCCCTTCAGTCTGGGCTGATCAGAAACATGCTGATGAGCATGTGTGCGCCCTGCCCCATGGGGACGGGGGTCACGGACTCTCACTCACTCTCTCTTTCCCTCTCCCGTACAGCCATCCCGTCTGCCCCGCAGGCCGTGATCTCCAGTGTGAACGAGACGTCGCTGATGCTGGAGTGGACCCCGCCCCGGGACTCCGGGGGCCGCGAGGACCTGGTGTACAATATCATCTGCAAGAGCTGCGGCTCTGGACGTGGTGCCTGCACCCGCTGTGGGGACAACGTGCAGTTCTCCCCACGCCAGCTGGGCCTGACAGAGGCCCGCATCTACATCAGCGACCTGCTGGCCCACACCCAGTACACCTTTGAGATCCAGGCCGTGAACGGGGTCACTGACCAGAGCCCCTTCTCCCCGCAGTTTGCCTCCGTCAATATCACCACCAACCAGGCCGGTAAGGAATTGCGCTTGCTCTGCTGTTGAGCCAGGCTGAGGCTCAGGGGTAGGAAGGGAGTCGGGAGCCTCTCACTTCCTGGTCACATTGTTGCTGACCAAAAGCCCGTCCCACCTGAGGGGTGGTAGTGACCTGGGTGGGTGCCAGCCCGTTTCCCCGGCCACAGGGAAAATATCCCTTGTCCTAGCAAAGAGACTCTTTTGTGTATGTTTGTACAGGGCCTAGCACAGTGGGGTCTTGTCTGTCCCTGGACTCTGAGGCACACAGTAATCCAAATAATGGGCTGTAGACGTCACCTGGCAGGAGCTTGCATTGCCACTCTCTCTGGTCCGGCCTCTCTGCAAGTGCTGCCAATGTTCCAGTGGCCAGAGCTGGAGCGCTAAGGCAGAGGGGCTGGTGGGGAGGGGGAGGCTGCACAGGACGCGCCAGTTCCGCATTCAGCAGCTCTCACAGGATGATGTCGCAGGGGGACATGGCCACAGACAATTGCTAATAAGAAGCACTACTCCAAGGGCAGTTCCCTTTTTCTCCCTCGGGCCAGAGTCCGGGAGTCCCCAGGATCTCAGAGCTCAGGGGGTTGGTTTGGGTCTGTTGGACTGTGGCTTGAGCTCATAACTCAACGGGTGGGCACCAGGTCAGCGTCCACGTGCGTGAGCATCCAGATCTGTGTGCTGGTATGCATGGCTGAGCTGTGTGTGTGAGCCTGAGTATGAACGGTGTGTCTGTGTGCTGGGAGAGAAACAGCGGGCACACGGCTTGGCTGTGCAGGGGGTCTTTCTGTGTAGGACTCTGAGCGTGTGTACATGTGGGCTATGTGTCTATTTCTGTTCTAGTTAGGAGAGATCTAACCATTTCCCTCACAGGGGCTCCTCCCGCATTTAGAAGCTGTTTAACGCTCTGATTTCACACCTTGCAATTAAGCGCTGCAGTCGCTACATTAATGCCCCAATCGTGAACTTTTCCACTTCTGCAGAACAAGCAGCTGAGGCGGCTGACATTGCGAATTGAGTTTTTTTAGTTGCCTCCTTTCAGAGCCTTGGATCCTCCTCTTGTGCCTCCCTTGTCTGACACTCCCTTATTATCGGGGCTCACACTTCTCAGGCTGTGTGATGCCTCTCTTAATGTATCCATTCATTAGCGCTAAACAGTAACTGCCTGCTCGCTAATTCCTCTGTAATTAGAGGCTCTGAATTCTTTTGCTTACACTCAGCCTAGTCTGGCAGCCTTGGTGTATCTCATTAGCAGTTGGTAACAGAAGCTGTATCTACAAAGATACAACAGGGAGCTGGGAAGAAGGGGAAAGGGGGGAACACAGGGAAAGGAGGGTACTCTGCGGCAGGGAAAGGAGAGATGGGGGAGGGAAGAGGGTGGCTCAAGGGCAGCAATGGTTGGATACAAGAACGCCTGTTGAATGGCTTAGGGGTTGGCATGTCTGCCTTTGCAAGGAGAGCTCCAGGCTCAGTCTCCACCTGGGGCTTGTTCTCAGCTTTCCTGGGAGCCTAAGAGGAGGGCGGGCTATTCCCCACCTCCTGCAGAGGCTGGGCAATGCTTTCCTAGTGAACATGACAGCTACCTGCTCTCCCTCCTTCTTGCCTCAGCAGCTCTTGAGAAAGGACCACCAGCCATGGGTTGCTTTGGCCTTGGAGTCATTTTCGGCTCCCCGCTGGTGCAGCTCAGAGGGCAGGACTGGGAGCTGGATTGCTTCCCTAGACTGAGCCCACTTGTTGCCTTGGTATCGATAGTTCACTGACACTCCTTGACGTGATAATATCAGGTGCTGCGGAGCGTGGCACAGTGCTCACACAGCAGCCAGGCAGGGGCAGACAAAGCCATGAAACTGCTGTGGCTTGAATGGCACAAGGAGAGCCAGCCTTCTCCAGGAGACTCTGAAGGCAAGCAGATGGTGCTGGCTGACTTCAGGCATGGTGGCTTCTTTAGCATCCCAGATGGGAGAACAGCCCTAGAGGGAATGGAGGAAACACCCCTGCAGAGGAAGCAGGGTGTGGGCTGAAGACCAGAGCCAGAGGAATGCCATCGCAGGAGGAGATGACATCACAGTGACCATGGTGCGAAAGGGGTAGCCCAGGAGCAGGGGAGCTGGTTTGGAGAAGGGAGACACCTGTTGTTTCTCAGGAAGGTGTTGAGTCAGAAAGGGGTGAGAGAGAAGCAACCGTGCTCTGGGTCCTAGGCTGACTTTGGGACAGAGGGGAGGGTGCCAGGCTGAGCAAAAGCACAGGCAGGGATTGGAAGAAACGTCCGAGAATTCAACTGTGGCTGAAGATCCACCTGTGGCTGCAGAAGATCGTGAGAGAGGAAGGGTTTAAGACAGGTTTTCCAGACCTTGAATCATTCTTGTAGCTCTTTTCTGGGACTTCTTTGAAACATCCTTTTTGAAGTAATTGGACATACTGTCCCAGTAATCGTCTTGTCAATGCTCTGTGTGCTGGCAACATCACAGCCCTACTCCTACCCAGTGTTCCTCGGTTCTTCAGCCCAGAATTGTGCTGTTCTTCTGAGCACAGAATCACACTGGGAGCTCATGTTCTCTTGGTTTCCATCTTAACCCCTCAGCCCTCTTGGGTGTCATTCCAAGGCCAGCCAGGACTATTGTGATCATCTCGTCTGACCTCCTGTAGAACACACACAAGTTCCCCAAAATAACTCCTAGTGCAGAGCTTTCAGAAAACCACCCAGTCTTGATTTTAAAATAGCCACAACCCTGGTACATTGTTCCAGTGGCTAATTACTCTCACTGTTAAAAGTGTACACCTTATTTCCAGTCTGAATTTGTCTAGCTTCCAGCCATTGCATCATGTTAGACCTTTCTCTGCTACAGTCCCCCATTCTATAAGTATGACCTACATTCTTTGTTCCTGGATGGATGACCTTCTGTGTGGCTGTGTTAAAACATACAATGTTCGAATGAGCCCAAGCAATTTAGGTTGGTTTGTATAACTCTCCTGTCCCCACTGTTGTTTACCAGGCCTCCAATCTGTGTGTCATCTGCAAACATGACCACCAGTGGTATTGTATTTTCTTGAAGATAGTTGATGAAGGTATTGAATAGCATTGGGCTAAGAATAGATTGTAGGAGCATTCCAGTAGAAACACAATGCTGATTCCCCATGTAGTTACTTTTGGAGATATATTGGTCAGCTCATTTTCAATCCATTTGATATGTGTTATATTGTTTAGTAAGAACGTTGTGTGGTACAGAGTCAAAGGGGGTTGGGTATGTCTACACAGCAGTGCTTCCCAGTGTGGATACACAGACACACACTCATGAGCTCAAGCTAGCACATAGAAATAGCCGTGTGATTGCAGCAGCATGGACAGCGGCTCAGACTAGCCATCCAAATACACAGAGAGGGGACTGGGCAGGTTTGTACTCAGATGGCCAGCAGCCACCCTGCTATTTTTAATGTGCTAGCTCATGTCTGTCTATCCGCACTGGGAAGCCCACTTCCAGCTACGGTGTAGACAGAGTTTATTTATATTATGTCAACACAGTTACTGTTATCAACCAAACTTGTAATCTCATAAAAAATATATGTTAGTTTGGTGAGATGTATTTTCCATAAAACCAGGCTGATGGACATCACTTATGTTACTATCCCTTAATTCTTTCCTGACTGCATCCCATATCAGCTGTTCCCTGATTTTTCTCAGGATTGATGTCAGAGTAACTGGCCTGTAGTTAATCCCATTTACCCGGTTTAAATAATGACACATCAAGAGTTTTTTTTCCAGCAGTCTCTGGAGAGAGAGACTCAAAACTCTCCATCGTGTGGCTCATATGTTAAGATAGACATTATCTTGAGAACACTTTCCCTCTGGCTCACAGTCGTGTAGATCCACCTCCCTTCTCATTTACCCTTCACCCAGACCCCCCGCCCCGTCCATTTTCAGGAGAACAGACTCACCTCCCCTTCATCCATCTGCAAGGTGGCTACGTCCCTTCGGGATTGGCCATGATGAAGATGATGATGGCCTCCCCTTCATGCTCACCTGACCTCCCTGGGGTAATGACACCACTAGTTTACATGGAAAAGCTACTTTAGGAAATTAGCTTCTTTTAATACAATTTGGTGATTGAAGCAAAGAAGTGAGTCAGCACCATGTGACCTGCCTGCCCCACTCTGCAAGGACACCCAGAAACTTCCTGCTGACCACCAGTGAGCCAAAGACTACTGTTTGGGAACAGCTGCCTTAAGAAGACACAGGGCCCAAAAGAGCATGCACAGATGTCTATAAGGACCCGGAAATTTGTCACCACCAAGGTTCCCTGTTTTGCACAGGATGCTGCATTGTCAGCAAAGGTTTGCAAAGGCCAGGACCAGATTCTGTCTGCTTCTTCGCTGGAGTGAAAGCTGAAGAGAGGGCACCTTCCCCCAACACCCCTTAGGGCTCCCAGAACCTTGGGGCTCACTCTCCTACAGTGGCTGGGGTGGAGCCATGGCCCTGTGCCCCTTCTGCACTGGCCAGCCCTGGGTGGATTGCAGGTGGTACTCTTGTGTACATGCACGGCTGTCAACCCCACACTTTTCACCACCATTTTCATGCCACATTACTCTTAAGAAAGATGTCAAGTAGGTATAAAAACATGGACCAAACAAAGATATTTAATGATTCAAGAAGGTCTGCAAGTTTCCTGCTGAAAGATGAACCAAAATCACAGTCACAATGTCCCTGGGATTTCTTAGGGGCTTTGCAATGGGAAGAACCACTCAACGAGCATTTCTGAAACTCCCATGCTGGGTTGCCCTGCTGCTCCGTCTCATTCTGTTTATAACGTACTGTGGGGACTCTATCTGTGATGTGCCGTGGGGCTGCTGTGTCCGTGATGTGCGGCGGGGATGCTGTGTCTGTGATGTGCTGCAGGAATGCTGTGTCTATGATGTGCGGCGGGGATGCTCTGTCTGTGATGCGCCGTGTGGACCCTGTGTCTGTTACGTGCCCTGGAGACGCTCTGTCTGTGACTTGCAGTGGGGACACGGTGT